GTTTTATTTCCCTTTGATTGGAACCAAGTCGATTTCAGCTATTGTTCAGAGTTCGACTGAAATCTAGACATCGCATCTTTCTTCACAATGAGGAGTAATGTGACACTGAAGGCAGGAATTATTTGCCTTGGCTTCATTAGGCAGATTGTAAAATAGCTTGTAAGATATGTCATTAGTAAATTAGCTGTTGGTGTGACAAATGAGCCTGACTCATGTTTTCCTTCCCTTGCGATAGCATGAGCCCTAGAATGCAGTCCTGTTGGAACAGCATTTCCCCTGACTTGGCTTAGGTCTTCAACAGAAAAGATGCAACAAACTAGCTTTTATTGTGCTGCATAAAGTTGATCCTGATTAACACATTGTCAAGCACAGAAGTGATGGAGTGAAGGATCTTTGATTTCCTGAGGAATTTATATGAACAGAGAAATGAATCAGGTTTTCAAGTCATCTTTGTACTTGAGAACAAACACAGGACTCACAAAGGCAGCTGGAGGAAAGCTTTTATTGCCCTCATCATTACAGACACAGTGGGTGTAAATGCCATGGTCAATTATATCCAAATGTATGAGAGGGTTTTGCCCAAAACTGAGCAAGTGCTTTATCTCAGTATGTCTACCAATCTATATTTTCTCACATAAATCTGAAGAGATCTGCTCTGTGGAGCTTGGAGATTAAGAGTTCAGAGTTCAGCATCAGAGATTTTTTCTTCTTTGGTGGAAAATCTTTCTTCGCCGAAGTTTAATATTTAAGGTTTTTCTCAACTTTAACAAGGTATCTTTAAATAAGGTAATGTTCATGATCATGACAAATGTTTCCTTTAAAATACAATATGCCTGTTTCCAGACTGTGTCACAGTGCTGGTGGATTTCTTTCGTTTCTGTATGTGTGCACCATAGAATTACTTTTATTCTCATCTAACTTTTTAATTCAAAATTCTTATGTTCACTTTTTAAAATAATGCTTATTTGTCTCTTAGAGTGCCTATCACTTCTGAATATTTAAGTCCTGATTAGCTGGATACATGAGAGCTGCAACAAATCAATGAAAGTAAAAATGAACAAATACCTGGGAATGTACTGCACAGGAATACCTCTTAATAAAGTTTAAGTGCACTGACTAAACACATCAATGCTTTATATGTCAAAAGCCCCATTGCACCCCTAAACATCTGTATGCATAACTACTTTTAACATGAGTACCTTCTTTATTTTGCACTACAGACTTTGGATAAAAATCCATTTCTCCTAATGCCTAGCTTTGTTCAATACTCAGAAAAAAGTTAGGAAAACCAGACTGATATCAAACTCACTAGCAGTAAAGCAAAATGAGCCCTATGCACTAATGCCAGAACATTATTTTGGGATTTTCTTTTGCTTTTACATAGAGCACTAAGAGCAGGGAAGCATATGGCAAAGTAAATTTAAGACCAGTTTATAACGCCTTCTTAAACCAGCATTTATGCTTTCTTTCCTTGCTGTTTGGTTGGAGCCCACATTCTGTAGAGAAAGAAGAGTACAATAAGATAGTACATGGAGCTCTTCAGAAGAAGGATGATGTACACTAAATATGCTGTTCTGTGCATTAGGTGATCTGTAAGAAACAGAAGACAGAAAAATCTTATTTAATGTCCACATTGTACAACCAACCTCCTAAAGGGCAGGAAGAACAGGGACTAGGCAGTCAGCTGCTGCTGTAACTACATGGACACCAGTGAACAGTGTGTAAACCTGTAAAATATCTGAATGTCCTTTTACTGGGTTTACACTTCTAATAAGTTCTAAACCTAGTGGGTTTCTTAGCATTCAACTCCCTCTCAATGCCACTGGTTATTATTCCCTGCAAAGGCAAGAACACAATTGTAGTGTTTCCAGCACTTAATACCAGCAGCACCATGTTTGTTTGAATCATTTTGTTGCATTTTTTGAACATATGTGCTCATGATTCTTCCCAAATCCTCCTTCAAGCTAAAAATTATATATTTCTTTGTCAAAGTCCTGGGCAATTGCTATGCTGATGGAGCATCACTCGAAGCATTCAATGAGCATTTAAATACTTCAAGTGTTTAAAAGAGTGTCACTTAATGTGGGCTAATAATCTTGTACGCCAAACCACATATGTAGCATCCTAATAAAGCACTTAAGAAGGCTAACTCATAAGGGTAGGTGAGCCCCTTCTTATAATTGACGACAGAAGTTATTTCAGGAAAGCACTGAGGTATTTTCAAGTTATAGACCCCAGACTTAAAAGGTTTCATGTACGCTATTTGGAAAGATTATCTTCACAATGTTCTGAGCATATGCAGCAATATCTAACTCTTGGATGGCATGTATCACTTTCACACATTTTAATGCATTAAGTTACCTCTATTAAAATCTGCACCACAATCCCCTTCCTGAGGAGCAGTCATCATCAAATCTAGTGGAAAGAGAGTTAAAAAGCCCCAGTTAGGATTTTCTTTCATTTTAAGGAACAAGAATTGATAAATAGTGTGAAAAAGTGGTGATATAGAACAGGAAAATGAGTATCTAGTTTAATAATAAGAGAAAAGGATGCAGAGCAGATATTCACAAGTAGGATTTATTTGTAGAAACAGCTCGAAGATGGGAAATGCTTGTGGAGAAGGGTCTGGGTATTTGTTGCCGTAAGTGGGAGTGTTGACATAAGTGCAGAGTCTCTTTTATATGGAACTGGAGTCAGTTTGACCACCTGATCTTGTCATTGAAGAAGCTGCAGTCTGTTTGCCTTCACAACATACTGCTAATAGAAATGCTGCATATTTTTTCAGAATATATTTTGTGGGTTGAAATGTAATGGTTATTTATGGCCGTGCTCTCACTCATTGGAGGTGTGTTAATTTGTAGCAATCTGAGCAGATGTACTTAAGGAGAAAAGATTAATCTAAACCTAAATAGATTGCTCTTCTTATAGATATTGCTATATTTTAAACCATCTGCATTGATTATATGTTACTTTTTCTTTAAAATTGCATTGACTTTCAGGTTTGGCTTTGCATAAACAATCTTCCCACAATCAAACACAATGGTCTCATTTTCATACATGGTTATTGCCTCACTATTGCTGGACTGTGAGTAAGTAATATATTTAAATTTTGCTCTACATCTTCAGCAACATCATTTTTAACTCCTTAGATTTTTATAGCTGTGTCTAATGTTAGGGTTGTCAGAGGGACTTAGACCTGTAAGCTGTGAGAGGTAGTACTTTGTTCAGAAACTCCTGTAAACTGGAAAATAGCTGACACACGTTAGTGCAGAGTTTTTGAAGCTATGCTAGTTTAGACTGTAGTGCAGACTTTTTGAAGCTATGCTAGTTTACACCTGATGAGGATCAATAATTGCTCTTTTTCTATTACAAAGGGATGCTCACTTGGGGACGCCGATAGCACAAGCTTAGGTTGACTTTCCCAGGGAAACTCTGGTTGCATATTTTAGCTATTGTTGTGCCAAGGAGGGCAGATGTCTTCAGAAACAGTAATAGAAAGCATTATTTATCTAATTTTATTACAAAGAGAAAAAATTCTCTAATAATATGCAGGATTAAATGTTTAACTTGTGAAGTATACCTTGTGCTGGCAGTGAACGCTCTTGGCTTTCATGCTCGTACTTGCAGTAAAATTTCTTGTGTTTCTTCTCTGCTGGTACAGTCAACCAGCTGCCGATTGAGTATCCATCCTCCTTCGTGGGCTGCCAAGGGTCACCTTTGACTACGTTGTCTGTTACCTCCTTTTTTTCTTCATCCACCCATGTCACCCGAATAACTTCTGGGTAGAATCTCTCAATGAGGCAAAGATATGTAATCTGATTTTCATGTTTCTTCTGCAGGATTTCTGAGTTTGCTGGTGGAGAATTTTCTTTGTCTGGATTGGTTATTGGAAGAAGAAAATTAACAAAACAGAGAGTTGAAGATCAGCAGTGCACATCAAATTAATGCACAGCCACAAAATACAAATTCTGAAGACCCACAAAATAAATGTCTTATTAATAAGGGTTTTAGCTGTTATCAGAAATGTTTAGAAACTGAAATACTTACTGCTGGAGATACTAGGTAATCTCCCTTGGAACTGAGCTAGAAAACTTCAGGCGACTACATGAAAGCCAATATTCCACAGCCTTCCAAGCAGTACTGCTCTCAGAAATGTATTGTTCGGCTCAACATTTTGACAATTATGAAATAATAGCAATATTTCCTGAAAGTGCTTTGTCCATTTATCCAAATTAGAGGAATTTAATATTGCTTTATAATATTTAGGCAAAAATAAGTTGACAAAAGTTTTGTCAACAAATGCTAAATGTAGACCACCTACCTTTCCAATCTTTGCAGTTTTATGTGCCCAGTATAGCCCTTACATATAATTAATGAACCTCTGCTATAACTAATTAATTTTTCAAAAGCCCATAGTAATTTTGGAGGGTTTATTTGAGGGGTGGAAAGCAATTAAAATTAGTTAGTGGTTTCTTTATCTTTAAGACATTCCATGCATTTGCCAGGTGAAGATCTTTAGCGAGACAGCACAAAATGCCCTGGACACCAAGGGTTGGAAATGCTGTTCCTTAAATACTTGATGTGTTCAAGCGCTTGAATTAACACATCTGAAAAGGAAAAACCAAAACTGAACCTAAGCAGAAGAACATGTTACATCTAGATACTAGACAATGTACCTAGCCATACCAGGGTTGTCATATGTGATGTGTTTTGAGAAACATGCTCAGTATGAACATACATGAATACATTTAAAACTAAATGTGAGCTGTTTCCACAGGCTACCTGTAGGTAACCTCCATTTCAGTTGCCCCTCTGCATTAAAACTATGTTATTAGGAGGAATCAAAATCATACAGATTTTGTTCACAGAGATGATGTTTTGGTATCATATAAGTGGATAGTAGAATTAAGTCTGTTGTAGTCAAATGTGAGTTTGTGCAGTGTGTAAACAGGCAGTGCTCACAGGCAATCATTTTTGACTATGCTTACCTGCAAATCAAGACTGGATACATTGTCCAAATTGGCTTTTGTTATATAGAAAGTACTGCTTAAGACTAGTTTTTCAAGGCAGCAGAGAAATTTAGGTGCTCCTCACACTGGAATTTCTATTTAGATTCCTTTGTAAGTCTCTCCCACTGAATTGGAGCATGTAGATGTACAGGCTTTAAACTGTGCTCTGAGCGCTGCAATTTTCATGGATTGGGAGAAAACACATTAATATAAAGATGTATTTTTGTCAAAAACTTCCACCTGTCTTTACATGATCAGCCTATCCTAGATCAATCTTCTACATTGCATTCCCCCTAAAACAACTTAGTGATTCTTTGAAGTATTTCACACTTGGTGCTTAAAAACAAGATGACCAAAGCACAAGGCTGTCCACCTTCAAACAGATAAACTTTATGTTCAAATTTCCCTCATTTTGGAGATTTGTCACTGAAATGACAATGTGGACCGAGTCCTGTTGGACCAGAAATAAAATTGCTAACAATGTTATGGTTCTCTAATGTTAATTTAGGACCTAATTTTAACTTCTTTATGCATCAGTCCTCCCAAGGATTCACGATTAAAGTAATTTCTAAAATGATTTATTTTTTCCAGGTTCATATATTTTCAGAAGACTGGGAAGTAGCTTTTGTCTCAGTGACATTGCACTCTGCAATGCCTCATGGCTATTTTAGATGTTTTTTCATGTTTCTTTTAGATATTCACAGCTTAGTAAGCTGTCCTGACTAATTTCTGTAGGCTAAAATATAATTGTCTATTTTGACATTATTCCCTTGGATTATCAAATCTAAAGAGAGAGGCAAAAGAGATGCTTCCAGCTGCTAGTTCATCCTGCTCGTTTTAGAGACTTGTGCTAGGATAAAATAATTTCCACCTCCGGAACTGCCACTTACCATAAAAAAGACCCTAGGTGCTTAGTTTAAATGAAACACCTAACTCATATCCCAATACTGAGGAAACATGTTGCTAGACTAACTGCAGCTGTGTGCAGGCATGGGAGAGGCTCATGTACATACACAGGTAAATGGATGACAGTGGAGAATTAAGTTTTGCATATACTTATATATATGTTTGCATATGAGAAAAAAACATCTGGAGGTATGTTTCTGAAAAACATAGAATTAGCAGCAGGTTTTGATGTATTTTCAGTCTGATCTGTAAAGTCAATGACATCAACAAGATGGTTTATGTTGGCTTTTCTGGGCAAATTATCTGATTCTTTCTGAAGAATTTGAAAGTAATGACCTTGCACTCCACTGTCATTTTTGTTTCAGTTAAACATAGAAAAATGTTGCTGTTTTGAGATGCTCCCAGCTGCTAGTTCATCCTGCTCGTTTTAGAGACTTGTGCTGGGATAAAATAATTTCCACCTGCAAGTGCAGATATTTCTTAAGCCAAAGTCTGTCTTTTCTGTCTTGTAGTAATGCAGTGAGCCTCCAAAACACTGTGCAAAGAAAATGCTGGAGTTAGATTCATAATCAATGACCTATTAAAAAACGTAGGTTCTAAATATATGTTTTTACAGATTAACTGTCAATAGGTTTCTTAATGAAACTCCTCTACAGTTTCTTTACAAGTATCCATAAATAAGATATAAATAAGTTCACTGTGTTCTTAAGCTGAAATTTTAATTCTCATTACTTGGATGATCCCATAAAATGAGTAATTTTTTCTGATACTGAAAGTTCCTCTGTTCCCCTTCAAGCCAGTGGGAGCTGAGAGCACTCAGCACTCTCAGCTCCTAAACAGCATTCTTGTCCTGCTTGCTGGCGACTTCAGGAATTGTAATTGGTAATAATGTAGTATAGTCCTGACCTACTGTGAGCTGCCCTAGAGAGCTTAAAGAGCAATCAGCCTTCTTTGCAAAACTCTCCCATTACAAGGCTTTTAAAAACATAAGATTTTGAAAACACTTACTGGAGACGAGGAGTTTTGTGCCAGAACCAAATACCTTATCTGGCTCTCAGTGGTATATTCCCTTACAGTAACTGCTATCTGAAGGACGGGATGCCAGGCAGAGGGACCTGGAGAAGCTTGAGAAGCCCATGGGAATCTCATGTGATCTAACAAGATGAAGTGCAAGGTGCTTCACCTGGGTCAGGGCACCCCCCAGTGT